GTTGTGCATTATTTTAGTTTGCATTCTAATTATAGTTTTTTAATATTTTTTCTTTATTCTTGATTTTATTTTCAAGATTGTGTATTTTGTTTTCAAGGCCTTCTGTATAGTCTAATTTATTGGTGATGCTTTCAATTGAATTTCAGTTTGATTTATTGAGTCTTTCATTTCCAGGGTTTTCATTTGGTTCTTATCAGAGTCTTTATTGCTTGTTGAAACAATCTTTTACTTCCTGTATTTTGAAAGTTCATTTTTTTTTGAGACAGAGAGAGAGAGAGAGAGAGAGAGAGAGAATATATATATATATATATATATATATATATATTTTTGTAGATGGACACAACAACATAATACCTTTATTATGTGGTGCTGAGAATCCAACCCGGTCCCGCCTGTGCTAGGCAAGCGCTCTACCGATGAGCCACAATCCCAGCCCCAAAAGTTCATTTCTTACATCTTCTTTTAGCTCATAGATTGTCTTAACTATGAATTTTCTAAATTCTTCCTTTAGCATTTTCTCCATTGTTGTTTTAATAGGATCAGTTGTTGAAGTGCTGTGGGTTGCTTGGGGTAATTTGTTATCTTGCTTTTCATTCTGTTTGTATGTCTTCCTGTCTATTGGGATTATTATCCCCCTTCTTTTATACAAGGGACTATTTAGTTTGCTTCTTTCTTTTAAGAGCCCCAGGTGGGTGAATATCTGATTATTGATAGTTGCACTCAATGTGAGTATTATGCTGCTCCCAGTATCATCATCATTTTGAGAGAAGAAACACTAAACCGTATTTACTACTATCACTTCAGAGTAAAGTCGTGTATTAACCTTAGGGAAAACAAAAACTTTTTATAGTGTTCTCCACAGCTCCTGTAATTTAGGTATAAACTTGTAGTAATGTTCTTTGAGGTTCTCTATATATAGCCCTTCTCATGCAAATTCAGGATTGTGCTTTCTAAGTAAGCCTGTGTTCTACCATCTTAAGAACTTTCCATCATTTTGGATGAGGATGTGGCTGAGTAATAGAGCCACATACTTGCCCAGTATTCTCCAGGCTTAGGGTTGGATGCCTAGCACACAAGAAAAATAAAGAAAAAAAAAGGAAAAGAATATTACATTCTTTCAAGCCTGGGAGGAGGGGATAAACATTACATTCTTTCAATCCTAGTGGGAGATGTCTTCCCATTTAAGTATTTTAAAATGTTTTTTGATGGGGTTTTGTAGATTTAAAAGTAGAAATGTTATACTTCATTAAATTTATTCCTAGATATTTCATTTGGTTCTTGTTGTTGTTGTTGTTGTTATTAGTGAGGGGGAACTAGGGATTGAACTCCTGGGTGCTTTACAACTGAGCTACATTCTGAGCCCTTTTAAGTTTTTGTTCTGAGAAAAGATCTTGCTAAGGTGCTTAGGACCCTGCTACATTGTTTTCATTTTCAGTTGTTCTTTTACTAGTGTGTAAAAATAATTTATTTTTATACTGATCTTATATCCTACAACCTTGTTTAACTTGTTTATTAGCTCTCTTTTTTTGTTTGTGGATTTCTTAGGATTTTATATACAAAGTCATGTTATCTGCAAGTAAAGATGGTTTTACTTTTCCTTTTTGTTTCTTTCTGGACTAATTGTTCTAGTTAGAATATCCAGTATCATGTAGCAGAAGCTGACATCTTTGTCTTGTTCCTATACTCAATAAAGTAGCTTCCAGGCTTTCATTATTAAATATGTTTCTAGCTGTAGAGTTTTATACTCTTTATCAAGTTGAAAAAGTCCCCTTCAATTCTTAGTTTGTTGTGTTTTTATCATTAAGGAAGCAGGATTTTGTCAAGCCATTTTTCTGTGTCTGTTGAACATATATGAATGTGTTTTTTTGACATTTATTCTGTCAATATATTTAGTTGAATTTTCATGTTGAACCAACCCTGAATTTTCATCATCTTTTACACTGATGACTCATTTAGTATTCTCTGACTTGATAAATTCTACTCCAAACCATACAGATGTGCAAACCAGATACCCAAGAGTCTTTTTCTACTTCTTTATTTCCCTAATAATGATTTCATTTTAATACCCACCTCACTTTTCTCCTGCAGTTCCTCTACACTGATATTGGGAGTAATTTTTTTTCATCTAAAGATGAATCTGATATTCTGTTTTCTACTTATAGAAAAATATATCAAGTAGGAATTTATTTTTGTTTCCTGCCTTCTGCTATTGTCATAAATCCTACCAATTGTTAGATCTTTGTCTTTTCTTTCTTTTTTTTTTTTTTTTTTTTTTAGTACTGGGAATTGAACCCAGGGGCACTCTACCACTAAGCTATATATCCAGCCTATTTTATTTTATTATTTCTCTATTTTTGTGGTTTTGTTATTGCATTATGTTTTTGTTATACATGATAGTGGAGTTCATTTTGACATAATCATAAATATATTTAACAGTTTTCTCATTCTCAATCTTCAGTACTTCCCCTTTCCCTCCTCTCTTCCCCCTTCCTGATCCTTTTTCCCTATTCTACTGCTCTTCCATTTATTTTAAAATTGGTACATTATCATTATACATAAATGTGGAATTTATTGTGATGCATTCATACATGCATAATTTGGCCAAATTCATTATGATATCTCTTCATCTACTTCTCCCTTCCCCTTGATCCCCTTTCTCTATTCCACTGGTCTCCTTTTTATTTTCATGATTTCCACCCCCAACCCCCACTTTATTACTCATTTCTGTCTAGCTTCCTCAAATGAGAAAAAACACCTGGCACTTTACTTTTTGAGTCTGGTGTATTTTACTTAGGTTGATGTTCTCAAGTTCCCTCCATTTATCAGTAAATGATATAATCTCCTTCTTTGTGGCTGAGTAAAACTCCATTGCATACACATGTATTCATCTGTTGATGGTCAATAGAACTAGTTACATAATTTGGCTATTGTGAATTTTGCATATATAAAGATTGGTATGCATACATCACTATGGTATGCTAATTTTAGTTATTTTGAATAAATACCAAGGAGTGGTCTATCAGTGCCACAGTCTGGCTGGGCACAATTCAGGAGCCACTTGTCAAAAGAAATGAACTTTATTTTTAGAACCACACACGCCAAACAAAACAGCTCCTCAGGAAAACCTTCAGAGCCCAACTGCCACCACTGGCTTCCCACAAGCCTCTCACCCTCCCCCACTCCTCCTGCTCTTGAAGCCGATTGGCTGGGTTGCGTGGGCGGAGCCAAAAAAGTCCCCCAATTAGCAGCTCCATGGTCTGAAAGGGCGGGGAAACAGCCCAATGAGCATCACCGCAGAGGAGCCAATCAGTTGGCAGCTAGAAGTTGCTGGGGCTGCTGTGAGCAAATCATCAGCTGGCAGCTGGAAGTTTGCTGGCAGCTGGAAGTTTGCTGGGGCCCCTTCGGCTGTGGCTCTCAACATATCAGGGTCATTTGGTGGTTCCATTCCTAGCCTTTTAAAGTATCTTCATACTGCTTTCCAAAGTGGTTGTGCTAATTTGCAGTCCCACCAAAAATACATAAGTGTACCCTCCCACCCCCACATCCTTGCCAGCAGTTATTGTTATTTGTATTTTAAAAAAATATTTTTTAGTTGTAGTTGGACACAATATCTTTATTTTATTTATTTACTTTTTTATGTGGTACTGAGGATTGAACTCAGGGGCACATGCAGGGCGAGCGCTTTTGTTAAACCACAATGCAAAGGAAAGACCACTGACTCCAATTTTAAATCACATTCTTAAAGCAAGCTTGTAATTCTGGCCAGGACTGTCTCTCTTGAAAACCCTGGGCTAGAGAATAGTACCCCAGCTCTCTAGGATCATAGTTTTCTGGCACAAAAAGTTGCAAAAGATAGTGTCTTGAGAACTCACAGATAACAGGATTTTGATAAGCTTAATACAAAGGCAGATAGTAGGTTAATGATCTCCATGGCTTAACATTTTAAGGTAGGGAATAAATTTAAATCCCAACATCATAATGTATGAGGCGCCACTGAGGTTTCAGAGAGGGTTGTTATCTGGTCAGGGAAAGCTAGGTATGGGTGAGTTCAAGGCATGGGCAGGAATTCCAAACAAGTTTAGAAATTGCAGTAATTTATAGTAAAACAGAAATTCACTTTTCATGACTTTGTGATGAGATGGCTCCCAGTCTTAAAGTGGAATTAGGATTGGTTCATCATTCTAAGCTGAGTCACAACCCCAGCCCCTGTTCTTTGGATTTTTGATAATTGCCATTGTTACTAGAATGAGATGAAATCTCAGTGTAGTTTTTGATTTGCATTTCCCTGATTGCCAAGGATGGTGAACATTTTTTCATGTTGGCCATTTGTATTTCTTCTTTTGAGAAGTGTCTGTTCAGTTCATTTGTTCATTTATTGATTGGGTTATAGGGTCTTGCTGAAGCTGGCCTTGAATTTATTCTCCTGTCTCAGCCTCTAGAGTAGCTGGCATCAAAGGCATGTGCCACTATGCCTGGCAGATCTTATTATTATTTTTAAAGACTCATAGATTACTTTCTGTGAATTATGAGTGAACTATCTATATCTTACAGTGGGATTTGTAATTTATGAAGAGTGCTACTGAATGCAGTTTTTGGACCTTAAGATTTGCTCCAATATTATCCAACAAAAGGAATGGCAAAATGAAGTGAGGTTTAAGAACAGATGAATACCAAGTAGCTAAATGGCAAATGGTAGTGTTGCTACTAATTTGTTGCCATTGTTTAGTTCATCCCTTGGGAGAGTGCTTTTCTTGAAGTTTATACATGCCATATTATATTACAAGAATGAAAAATATAGTTTATAATTAATTGTCAAATATGTATTATTGAAGTAATAATGGCATAAGTTTTACAGAAGTTATTTATTTTAAATCCAAATTATTTAAAATGAATACTATCTAATGTTCACATTGATATATATGAATATTATATATACCAAATACTATAAAAGCTCTTTTAAGCGTTTTTATTGACTTATATTTTAATTCTTTATTTTGCAGTCTTGCATTGCATCCTGAACGAGTATTGGTAGCAACAGGACAAGTTGGGAAAGAGCCTTATATCTGTGTTTGGGATTCATACACTGTGCAGACCATATCAGTTCTAAAGGATGTTCATACACATGGTATAGCTTGCTTAGCATTTGACTTAGATGGACAGGTATGTGATATTTTTTTCCCTTTTTCTAAATTACGTTTTAAAATGTATACTACAAACATGATATATACTGTTTATGAATTGTGAATATTACAATAAATATTAAATGGAAAAGCAATTGATGAGAAGTATTTGTTTATCTTGGTGGAGATGTAGATGGAGTGGATAGACTTATGTAAGAAAAATAAAGACAAAAACAGACTTATCATATGAAGAGCTTTCTCAGTCAAATTAATTATTACCTTGAAAGCCAAAGAGATTCTAATTCAGTGGAATAACAGTTGTTATAGAAAATTTTAGATATAGCTCTTTTTCGAGCTGGGTATTTTGATAGGATAAATGCAAGATGTTTTGGGAAAATTAAGTTTCTCTAAGTAGTGATATACGTATTTTAATTTTCAGTTACTTTAAGGTTATCTTTATAATTGCATTTTGATTGAAAATAATGAGACAATTGTTTTTATATAAAATCAGAGTTCAAAAGAAAGGATGCAGTTACCACTATACTGCCTAGTTTTTTTTTTTCCAAATTGTTCTCTATTTCCAGTCAGTGATTTTTTAAAGTTAAACAAGTCAAGGGCTTTTTTGTGTGTGATGCTGTGTAGAAGTTATTATACCTAAAACATTCGAAACATGGTAGGAAGCAGATTTTTCAGATGTGGTTAATTTATAATCTTTGAAAGTTTTAGGTTAAAATTGGACTTTAAAATCATTTTAACTTTTAGAAAAATTTTAGTTACACAGTTTTTATTCATAAAATTAGTTTTTATGAATCATTTAGGATTACTTTAAATCTAGATTTTTACAAAAATAGATTGTAGTGTGTTCTTTCCCTCTTAGAAACAATATCCAGTAGATATTTCATATATTACTCAGAGGAATAGCTTGATTTGCATAGATTAATATTACTTTCTGATAACAGATAAGTTTCTGGTAAGGGATCTATAAAGACTTACCTGGAACCTGTTATTGGGGAAGAGTATATTTCTGGGTTTAATGTTGCTATATAGTAGTGTTTAGCAATTCCAGAAACTTAATTATGTCCCATTTTTGCTGTTGTCTTTCAAGTCCCTTAATCTCCTCATCAGAGTTTCATTTTTTTTTAAAGAAAAGAGAATAATACTTATTCTTTCCTACTTCACTGGAGTATAAAATATTATGAAGCAAATCTACAAAGTGATTTTTTAAAATTATTTATCATTTAAGGTATTATGAAATTCAAGATGTTTTAACTATAAGCATCTGCGTACTTTAAGTGTAAAGGTTTTCTTCTTAATTTAAAATTGCCCTCTTAAAATGTAATATATTGCATTGCTGAGGAAATCCAATGAGAAATCACTTCCACAACTTTTACTAGTTGAAGGCCTTTAATTTTGCTTATTTGAGCAACTTACAAGAAAATCTTGGATGTATGTTTTTTATCATCGTAGATATTCATAAGAACATGTTACTAAAATTTTAAGCTTATAAAAACACAAAAAGATGTGGAGCACATATTAAGTGCCAGGCATTTTGCTAGGCCTGCATTATCTCATTTAATCTTCATAACAACCCCATGAAATAGATACTGTTATTATCTCTATTTTACAGATAAAGAAACTGAGACTTAGAGAGGTTAAATAACTTGTCCCAGGTTACACAGCTAGTAAATGGAGCCAGAGCGGGAACCCAGGTCAGTCATATTCCAAAGCTCATGTTTTTAACAGGAATGCTCTCACTGCCTCCCAAACATGGAACGTAGGAGGTGGTTACTTATATTTCAAATAGAATTCATCCATTTTAAGTATAGTCAAAGCTAAAATGTAAGGAAATGCTGCCAAATAAAGATTAAGAAATTATGTTAATACTTTAACTTGAAAAATATTTGAGCAAACATATCTGTTTATATCTATAAACTGTTTATGGGATACCAAGTAGGGAATGTTGTCTAATTTTTGCATTTTCTGCTAGATTGAAACCATAAGTGATCATTTAGGATTTATCCAATCAGTAAGTTTCCTAGTTGGTGGTAATGCTGAGTGTTCTTTTCCTAGGGGCTTTCTTCTAAATAAATTGAATATGCACATTAATACTGGCTGTCTGCCTCATTGAGGATAATTAGGGCCTGAAAAGGCTTTTTATATGTATCTCATTCAGAGTACATGGGAGAAGAAGTAGGAGGATGAGAAATTGAACTGATTTTTTTATCTTGAATGTATCACCATAATTCATAAGAACACATTTCTCATATTTAGCTACATATACGTTATAGTTACAACTCTGCTAGTTTATAGAATTAACTGAGAATAAAGTCATTTTTAACCAAAATTGTGTTAATTATAGTCTGGTACAAAATAGAATGCTTCGGCTTATCTTTGACTTTTAGTACATAAAGTGAACCATTTTTGCAAAATTAATGTATACATGGGAAAGGGATCATGACTTTTTTCCCAAGGGCCTTTTGTTAATCTCTTGTTATGTAGACATATCTCAAGTGCATAGTCTATTATTCTTGAATTTTTTCTTCTATTGTCCTGCCAGGTCCTAACTTCTAATGGCCTTAAATATGATTTGGCCAGTATTTGCTACAATAAACTTTGTATTATCTGTAAAATTGATAATTTCATTCTGTAACGCTAAAATGTTTAATTCTTATAAACATAGATAGGAAGGCCTTCCATAGAAGAATCAAAAGTTCAGTTGCCTATTAATTTGAATTTATTTCACAGTTGTATTGTAGGATGCTTCTTCTTACTTGAGTGTTTGGTGTACTGCTTCAAATTCAATTAAAGGGCACAAATAAGATTTTGTTTGGGATAGGATCATGGAGGAATTTGGGAAATGGGGTAGATTACTTCTTTGTTATTTTTTAAAGAGCCTTTCCTTATGTCTCAGAAGAACATGAAAGAACATGTCAGTGTTCTTCAGAAATCTGTAGCCTGCCGGTACTATCATTTATTTTCCCTTAATGATTATATGAACCCATGACTTTAATTTTCATACCAGTTAACAGTGGCTCTTGCTTCTCTCAACTCTGAATAGTCCCCTTGAATATATTCCCCTATAGAATTTATAGTATTCTATAGAATTTATAGCCCCCTGTAAATATTTCATATTATACATTTAAACTTGTCTCTTTATTTTAACTCTAAAAAATTGACAATAAAGCTTAGCTACCAATATACTTCTCTAGACTTGTCTCTTGCCATTTCCCTATTGATATTCCTTTCCTCAGTTACATTGAATTACTGGCCTTTTTAAAAAAATTGGTTCTCTTTAGTTATACATGACAGTAAAATTCATTTTTACATAATTATACCAGAATGGAACATATCTTATTCTAATTAGGACCCCTTCTGTGGATGTACATGATGGTGGGGTTCACTGTAGTGTTTTCATATATGTGCACAGGAAAATTATGTCAGATTCATTTCACTGTCTTTCCTTTTCCTATTCCCCTTCCCTTCTCTCTTTTGAAAGCACTAGGATCTTGAAGTCTTGGTTCCTTGGTCTTTTCTACCTGTCTTTTACTTTATCTTTGAAGATGTGGGTTGTGTTACTTTTTCTGGAAAACTTTCTTCAACCTCTTTGTTACCTACCTAAACTAGATTAAATGTGAGAAAAGATGATAAGTTAAAAATGTATAGAAAGCTAGAAGAGGAGGTGGTGTTTGCTTTGTTGTTTCTCCCCTTCTTGTTTGTTGTTGCTTGACTTATGCTTAGGGAGTTTGATTTTGGTTGTGATGTTTGTCAAAGCCACAGAAGAACAACTCCCAGGCTTAGTTTGTTATTGCCTGTACAGAGTTAGATGTTTAGATGTGGGTGTGCAAATGCACCTGCTGAGGATCAAACCCATGCTAGGCAAATGCTTTATCACTGAGCCACATCCTTATCCCTAAAGCTCTATTTGGATACATGAAGTTTTCAGAGTTTTTGGTTTCCATGTGTGTATGATGAGCTGAGCCAGAGAAAAGAGGCATGAATAAAAAGGACTATTTCTCACTTTATGTTTGTCTGGTGAAAGTTTATTCTTTACACACTATGCTATAGCAATAAGTAGATACCTTTGTTTTAGCTAGATATTTTCTGATACTCTCTGGTTCTGAATATTAGAGTCCTCTGATGAGCAACATATTCTCTCATTCTCTGTAATTTCTCCTAGCTTGATTTGATGGAGAGTCATGACAAACTGTATTCTATATTCCTTTTGTGTGATTTATTTTTTCTGCCCATTTGATTTCAACAGTAATTCTACTTTGCAGAAGCTGTTTCTAACTGGATACTAGATGGCATTTCTCATTTGGACAGGTAGAGTTGATGGGTTCTTAAACTTATTATGATTATGGTAAATTACTGGTGATAATGATTGTGAACACTTACTTAACATTAACCACAAGACGGGCATTTTTCTAAGTTCTTTATGTATAATATGTTAATTTTTCATATTATCCTATGAGGTACTTTTATTATCCGCATTTAATGGGTAAGAAAAGTAAAGTAGAGAAAGGCTAGATAACTGCCCAAAGTCACCCAAGTAGTAAGGCATGATGCTCAAACCTAGATAGTCTACTACTAGAATCTACATTTTAAACCACGTTTGGTAAATTTTTTATAACAATTCAGATAGGAAATATTTTAAGCTTTGTGAGCCATATGGTCTCTGTTGTAGCTATTCAACTCTGCATTGTAATGTGAAAGCAATCATAGACAATCTGTGCAAGAATGAATGTGGCTGTATTTCAGTAAAACATGACTTACAAAAATAGGGTATAGGCAGGATTTGGCCTGAGGATATACTGTTAACCCCTGCTCTAAAGCACGAATTTTCAAAATACATGTTTTGTGTTATTCTTTAGATTTTTTTCTGTGATTTATTCTTTTTTTTTTAAATGGAATTATTTCCCATTCCAAACTGTGATTTATTCTTTGGTCCTTCAGTAACTTAGAAGTATATCGTGTAGTTTTCAAATATTTGGGGAATTTTCTAAATAACTTTCTGTTGTTGTTACTTAATTCTGTTATTGTCAGGGAATATACTCTATATTTTAATTTTATCTAATTTGTGGCTACTTTGTTATCCAAAATTTTGTAATCTTCATGAAATTTTATGTGTACTTAGAAAGGACATAGAAAAGCATATTCTGCTTTTTCTTTATTTACTCCTGTTAATTGTGCTATTGTTGTCTTTAATTTTACTTTTTGCATATTTTGCAAAACACATAGTAACTATTGTCATTTTTGCCTTAACCCATTTCAAAAAAGAAATTTTGAAATGAGAAAGTATTATTTACATATTTACCTTTGGAGGACTTTTATATGTGTAAATCAAATTTGTATTTGGTATCATTTTTCTTCTGCCTGAAAAAAACTTCCTTTATCATTTACTCAAGTTCTGATTTGCTAATAATGAATTTCCTCAGGTTTTTCTTTTTTTTTTTTTCTTTTTAGAGACTGAGTCTTGCTATATTGATCAGACTTGCATAAAACTTCTTAAGAGATCCTGTTTAGCTCCTAAGTAGATGGGATTGTAGGCCCACATGCCGGCTTCTCAGCTTTTGTTTACTTAAAGAATATTTTGACTCAGTTTCCAAAAGATAATTTTGCTAATTTTCTGTTGATTTATTTTTACCCCTCAGCATTTTATCTATTTATTTGTTTATTTGTGGTGCTGGAGATTGAACCCAGAGCCTGTGTATGCGAGGCAAGCACTCTACCAACTGAGGTATATCCCTAGCCCTACCCCTCAGCATTTTAAAGAATTTGTCTATTGTCTTCTGGCTTGCATCATTTCAGATGAGAAGACTAGGATCATTTTTAATCTTTGTTCTTCAAATCAAACTCTCTTATTTTCTGTCTGCTTTTAAGATTTTTTCTTTAGTTCTGATCTCAGAATATGCTTACCATGTGTCTTAATACATATATTTTCCCTGTGTTAATAATTAAGCTGGTTGGGATTTGTTCAGCATCTTTTATTTGTAGATTTAGGGTTCTCATCAAATTCAGAGCTTTTGGCTATTATTTTTTCAGTTTTTTTTTTCTTTTTTCCACTCTTTTCCCTCTCCTTTTGGAACCACAATTATGTGTATGTGAGACATTTGATATTTTCCTAAAGGTATTTGAGGCTCTATAAATTATTTTTTCCTTTTTCTTTCTTGGCTTTATTTTAGATGATTTCTATTACTATGTATTTTAAGTTCATTTTTCTTTTCACCATTGTCTAAGCTGCTATTAATTCTTCAGAGTGAATTTTCATTTCAGATGATGCAGCACTTAGTTTTTATAATTCCTGGTTCTGATTCTGTTGGCTGATTTCTTTCCTCCTGGTGATTGGTCATATTTCCTTATTTCTTCACATGCTAGTAATTTTTTTATTATATCTGGTCATTGCGTATGTTACATCTTAAATGCTATGCTTTATTTATTTATTTTTTAAAGCTGTTGATGGACCTTTATTTTATTTATTTTCTTTTTTTTACATGGAGTGCTGAGAATTAAATCCACTGCCTCACACATGCTAGGCAAGCACTGTACCAATGAACCACAACCCCAGCCCCAAAAGTTGTGTTTTATTGTATCCCTTTAAGACATATGAGCATGGTTCTGGTAGGAAATTAAATGTATTCTGTATCAGTTTAATTCTTGTGAAAAGCTTGCTTTTGGAGGAAGCAGGCGAGCTATTCTAGCTTTTCTTCTAGGACTAAACTTCACTTGAAGTGTCACCCTCCTGGAGTCTAATGAATACTCATGAATTCAGAGATATATCTTCATTCTAGCTGTTGGGAATTTGAGTAATTTCTGATCCTTTGGGATTTCAGAATTGTTTTGGTTTTAGTTCCTCATGATCTTTCTCTAGAATTTCTTCTGTATGTGGTCTTGTGGAATGTATCCTATGCATGCAGAGAATGGTGTTTTCAGATCTCACTTACAGACAGAGTTTCTGGAGCTCTTTCTCTGCACTGCAAATTTTAGTTATCTTGGCTTCTCTGAACTCCAGGCTGTGCCTTTAAATCAGCAAATATACTGAGTTCTGTTGGATTCTACCTTTATGTGCTCTGAAAATTGCCTCCCAAGTGAAAGCTGAGGCAACTGTAGGACTCTCCTTGTTTTCCCCCTTTCCAATCATGCACAGTGCTTTACTTCCAATTACAAATGTCTGAAAAGATTTCATTTTATATACTTTGAACGGTTTCTAGATGTTTATGGAGGGGAACAAGTTCAGACCCTGATACTCCTGCTTGGCTAGATGTCTTTCATATTTCACATTCTCTCTCATTTTTTTAATATTCTCATGTGCTTTTTTTAGCTTTTTAAAATTATTTTTTAGATATACATGGCAGTAGAATGTATTTTGACATATTATACATACATGAAGTATAGCTTAGTATAATTAGGAACCCACTCCTGTGGTTGAACATGATGAGAAGTTTCACTGGTTGTGTATCATATGAACATAGGAAAGTTATGTCTGATTCATTCTACTATCTTTTCTATTTCCATGCCCTCCTCTCTTCCCTTCATTCTCCTTTGTCTAATCCAGTGAACTTCTGTTCTTCCCTCATCGCCTTATTGTGTATTAGCAACCACATATCAGAGAGACAATTAGGCCTTTGGTGTTTTGGGACTGGCTTATTTCACTTAGCATGATAATCTTCAGTTCCATCCATTTACCGGTAAATGCCATAATTTCATTCTTCTTTATGGATGAGTAATATTTCATTGTGTATACATATCACATTCTCTTTATTCATTCATCTATTGAAGGGCACCTAGGTTGGTTCCACAGCTTAGCTATTGTGAATTAGATTGCTATAAGTATTGATGTGGTTGTGTCACTGTGGTATGCTGATTTTAAATCCTTTGGGCATATACTGAGGAGTGAGATAACTGGGTCAAATATGGTTCTCTCTTTCTTTCCATCTTACTTCTACTCTTATCAACTATATTTTCATGACCTTCTAATCTGCTATTCCATTGAGTTTTTAATTTTATGTTTTGTTTTTCATTCCTTGAAGTTCATTTGTTTGATCACATTTCCTTGGATGCTTTTCATATTTTCCTAATCTTTGCTCATATGCAGACATTTTGAAGCCTTAATTTAATTTCTCTATTTACATTAAGCTTATTTGATATTGTTTATATGATAATTCCAATATCTGAAGTATATTGAAAGGTTGATCTTGCTGATTGTTTCAGCTCATGATCTCTTATTTCCTTGTGTTTGTGGGGTTGTTTAGTTTATTTTAATTGAGTTTCTACCAGTAGAAATTTTTTGAGGGATAGATTGAAAGTTTTATATTTCCTAATACAGAATTTATATTTGCCTATTTCATGTATTAAAGTTGCTCAAAGACACAACCAACCCTTAGGACCACTCTGCATGAAATTTCTCACTTAAGTGATCCATGATTAATGTGAATATAAGTCATACAACAATGTGAAGGCAGCTTTTGGTTACAAATGTTCAGGGAGATTTTTCTTCCCCTTTTTTCATCACTACCCCTTTTTAAAAAAGGGATAATTTCTTATTCACTGCTTTAGTCAGAGGTCAGTTCAAATTCCCATATTGGGTAGGCTCTAGACTTTATCTCCTGTTCTTCTTTGATATGCAGCACAAAAATTGGGTACAAGGGTTCATCTGATACCTGTAGAATGGAATAATATAGATGCTGTATTACCTTTCAGGATTCCCACTGGGGATCCCTTTGTTTTGTTTCCAGTTTTCCTAATTCTTTAACTTCTCAGCAGTATATCTAAAATGATTTTATTACATTTTTTCTACTATTTTTAGTTTTTGGCATGAGTTATCTTTAGGATATTTTGTCAAACTGTCTCTTTGTTTCTTGGTATAAAAAAGTATATGTATGTGCAAATATTGAAATGTATTTCCTTTTCTCTATGGGCTCTATGAAATATAGATGTGTAAGGTTTGATGTTTATTAAACCCCTGAGTAGAATTTATTTACCATTTATAATTTGGTGGTTCTTTGATTTGTTTGCCTTTTTTATTCCTTCCTTGACTTCTTGGACATAATCCAGCGCCTGGTTTCAGTTGGACTGGATTCAAAGAATGCAGTTTGTGTTTGGGACTGGAAAAGGGGGAAAATGTTGTCTATGGCTCCTGGTCACACAGATAGAGTAAGTATTCTCCTTTGGAATTTATAATGAGTACTAGACAGGAAAAAAACAAGAGAGAGTTTAGGGAATTTTATTCTTCTGTTTTGTTATTGCCAGATAGGTCTTAGTTCATTGAAAATTTCCAACTCTTAAAAATTATACAGTTGTGGGGGAGGGGAAAAGATGGAAAGAAAAATGGGAATCATCGTATAATTATGGAGGTTCTTTGTTAGGTGATGAAATGTTCTAAAACTGATTGTAGTAAAATTCTACAAGCATACTGAGAAACATTGGATTATACGCTTTTAATTATAATATGTGAATTAGATCCCAGTAAAGCTGTTTAAAAATAAAAATTTAAATTTAAAAATTTAAAGATTGTACAATTATAAATACCCATAAAATCTTAGAATGCAAATGTATTATAGGACTTGAGTCAATACGTGTGGTATTAAGCACAAAACTTTTAACCCAGTGTTTGCTTCAGTAAAAGCTGTGCATTTTTCTGTTAAAAACCCAGGTTTATTGAGTATAATTGATTTATAAAAGACTTCATATATATAATGTGCACAGTCTGATGAGTCTATACATGTGCAAACAACCATTTTTGAAGTATCAATTTTAAAATTAAATGAGTTTGTGTCTAGGGTCTCTTTAGTTTCATTTACTAGTAATATATTTCATATGGATTATAGTTAAGGTGAAAAATATGTTGTTTGTGTAATTATGTGTTAAAATTATGTATGTGTATGGGCTAGGGATGTAGCTTGTGGTAAAGAGCTTGCCTAGAATGTGCAAGACTCTGGGTTCAATCCTCAGCACTGCGAAAATGATAAAGTAAGAAAAATTAAAATATTTTTATAAATTTTTAGAACCCTAACCATTTTTTACTTTGGAAACTAGTTAAAATATAGATTCCCTATTCCAAGTTATGTAAGGTTAATATAAGGAATATTTTGTCAGCTTCCTAATTAAATATTACACTGATTCTATAGACATGTAAAAAATTCTATAAATTTTTAAAAATCTCTAATTTTGTGAGTGTATGTGTAGTTAAATCCATGCCTGAAGCAGCAACAAGGCATAATCAGTGATTCTGTTTTGTAGAAATCTGAATCTGTAAAAGTTGTGCAGAAAATTTTAAGTACATTTGCATTTTGAATAATATACTTGGTTTTCAGCAAATCTCAAAGGAGCATGTTATATGGTGTCTCTCATTCATACACACACAATTTAGATGATTATTAACATGTTAGATATATTTTATTAGACAACTATGTTTTCTGAGTGACTTAGATCAAAGAATTTCACATAATAGCAGTTTGGATTTAGTAAATAGACTAATTTTAAAAGATTATGTTGTCAATGGGATTTTAAAAAGCATTTTGTAGTCCTTTGCATTAATATATTTTTCATGTAATCTATATAATGATGAGTTGTTAAACATTAACTTATGTTCTCTTTCTTCATTATCATTGAAAAGTATTTCTAAAATTTTTTGAGATAGTAAACATTTTAAGTTAGATGATAATAGGAGTCAAAAAAACATGGTGAAAACCCTCAGATTGCAGGATAACTGAATTATTTTTTAAATGGTTTTCTTTCATTTATTTCTTAATTATGTGTTTCTAGTATATGTTTTATTTCATCTGAGTTTTTGCTTGTAACAAAATGCTTTGTATGTATTTAAACTTTGTGGGATCTTAGATATGAACAAAGCCTGGAGACCTGCAAAATTTAAGTATATGTAAATTAATTGTATTTGACCCATAAACAGTAAGAAAACTAAAGAATAAAAGTAAATTGCTGTGAAATAAATGTTTAGATCCTTTATGAAAGTAATTCTATGTGATAAAAAGCTATAAAAATATTCCTTATTTCTTATTGTGTAAGTATTTAGTGTATGTTCCATTCAGAATCTCACCCCTTTAAAAAAATTATGCAGGCACCTGCATAATTTAAGCCATTCTTGTTATTTGTGAATAAATTCTTTTTTTTCCCCCTAGTACTGTGAATTGAACCTAGGGCTTCACACATGACAGGCAAGCACTCTACCACTGAGCTATATCCCCAGCTCTTTTGTATTTTGTGTTTTGAGATGGTCTCACTAAGTTGCCCAGCTGGCCTCAAACTTTTGATCCTTCTACCTCAGCCTACCCCAAAATTCTTTAAAAAAATTTTTTTAAAAAGTAGTTTTGAATTTTGCTCCAATAGTTGCTTTATAAAATTCATTGAAGCTAATAGTTTTTATTTCTTATCATTTTCATATTTAATTTAGTTCTTATAAAATTTTGAAATGTGGGATTTTTGATCATGATTTATTGAGGCTGCTGTGGTTTCTGATAGGTTTGGGTAGTTTGATTTTTTGGACAGTATTTTTAAATGATTCTGGAAATAAATATTTTAACCATGAATCTGGTTTATTTACAGATATTTGATATTTCTTGGGATTTGTACCAGCCAAATAAACTTGTCAGCTGTGGTGTAAAACATATCAAGGTACTAGAAGGGTCTTATTTTATAATAGTCATGTTTAGTTTTCTACTTTTAAGTATGAATCACATTATTAACAATTTAGGATTAGTTTTAGAATTTTGACAGTACTTTTTATGAAAATGTCAACTTTTTAATGTTCTTATATTAAATTAATTATTTATTTTGTAATTACTTCTAGTATTCTGAGGGACGTAGGCATGAATAGGTAATTAATGAACCACTCTCCATAAGGCGTTTATAATCTCATGAGGTAAAATTTACAGTATTCTTGTTTCTTCAGATTTCCCTCACAAAGTAAAATGTGAGACTAGGAAACCAAGTGGGCCAAGTTTTTCATTTGCAGGACTAGAGTGGTATGGTAGAAACAACATGGATAGAATTGACTGTCATGTATTAGATGTTTAACCTGGGTGAGTCATTTAACCTCTTTGAGCTCTTTTCCCATCTTGAAACTATAACTGTTTTTACCATCCTCAAAGATTTGATGATTTAAAAGGAAGCATATGTTCAAGTGCTTATAATAGTGCCCAATGAGGGTCTGCTTTCTGAAAGTGATCTTTTTCTTTTTCTATGTTTGCTTTCTGATTTGACTTTAGCCTTGATAGCCACTATTTATTTTGCTTATGCAAGCTCTGAGTTTGTTTTGTAATTATAGTTCAGGTTTTGAAGTCCATAGTCAGTGGTGATATTCATTCCTATGTCTATAGCAACTTTTAAATCACCAGTGCAAACTGCAAGTACTTGCTTTTTTTCCACTGTCTTATGTAACAGTTCTTAAAATCAGATAATTTGAAATAAGTAAGAATCTGTGTTCCAACCTTCTTTATGATATGTTCACCTCCATCCATATTTTCTCCAATAAGTCTTTTTTTAAATATTTTATTTTTTAGTTGTAAATGGACAAAATATCTTTATTTTATTTTTATGTGGTGCTGAGGATTGAACCCAGGGCCTTGCACGTGCTAGGCGAGTGCTCTACAGCTGAGCCACAACCCCAGCCCTCCAATGAGTCTTTATTGCTGCTATAATTCTGGTTTTAATAATCTGGTAATAACTTGATAGATGGGTAGTATTAAATCTTTATATATTATCAACAAATATTTAACAGCAAAGGCTCTATTAGGCTTTAAGGCACATGATGTAAGCACTGTGAGACAAAGACATTTATTTTTGATGAACAAAATGATGTTTAACAAAGTACTTGTTATATTTTAACTGCTTAGTAAATGGCAAATTAATTATGAAGAAAAATCTTGCTGCTGTTTTATATTATAAATAAAACTAAAAGATCCATTTTCAGTTTTTTTTTTTCTTTTGCAGTTCTGGGGATGGAACCCAGGGCTTCATGCATGCTAACAAATGCTCTACCACTGAGCCACATCCCCAGCCCCACTTTTAGGTTTCTTTTTTAAAAGCTCATCTTTCAAACTAAAACAAACAAACAAACAAAAACTATATTAAGAGATACATTTCCTTTTCTTTCTTAGGGACAATGAATAGTTTGTTCTTTTTGTAGATAACATGTGTGAGGAAACTACCTGAGATGATCTAAAACTGAACTGGCTAATAGCCACTAGCCACTTGCAGCTATTTAAATAAAATTAAGGCTAAATAAAATTTCAAATTCATCAGTCACACTAGTAGCCACTTTCCAAATGTTCAAGAGTCATGTGTATCTACTGGTTATTATAATGGAAATCGTGTACATTACAGAGAGTACTTCCACCATCACTGCAAGTTGTGTTGGATAGTACTGGTCTAGATTCAAGAACAAATGGTTAACTTAACTCCTGCTGAGCATCAAAAGCATTTGAAAACCTGGATTTTATTCCTCAAAAATTCTGTCTCAATTTGTTGGGGGCCAGGGAAATTATGGGAAAATTTATAATTTCCCCAGTGGATTATAATGTGAAACCATGGTTAGCAATAACTGATCTTGAAGAAAATAATAGATTCAAAGTGGGATTTGCTAAAAGGAAGAGACCAGCTTTTCTTATGAACAGAAATTATGGCGCTTTTAAATTTAAAAGTCATTAAATTTCAACTCATTAAGGCATCTGTTAGTTGTTTGAATGGAAAAGTATCATAATTTTTAGTTCTTTGAAGTGTCAGGTTTAAAACAGATGTATATAAAATACTAGAAATTATATTATTTGAAGTAGTAATTTACTTTTTGTAAAACTAAGTTTATTCTCTGGGCCTCGTTTCTCTATATAGAACTATTTAATATATACATCCCTGCCTGAACTCATTAAAATTTCTCTTTGCATACTGTGAAAATTTATTAAAATCTACATAATAGAGAAAAAAACTCTTTTTATGAAGATTCATGTTTGACTTCTCTCTCCAAAGGATGACCAAATCTTTCCAAATGAGAATCTATCTTATTTTTTTAAGCTTTATGAGGAAGAAATTTGCTCAGCTTTGAAAACACCAATGAGAGCAATGTACAATCCCCCCATCTTTGCTGTTTCTATCAGAAATTGAACATTAGATTTGGTCCTTTTTACCATTTGTGTATGATGTCTTATCTTCATTGCTAACTCATTCCCAAAGCCTTTAATTCTCTAAGTTTCATGTTTTTATTCAATATCAAAGGAAAGCAGTAGTATATTTTTAAAATAATCTAGTTCAATTCCTTTCTCTTACAGACAAAGATTGAAACCAGTGATTTACTATTATAACATAGCTTTTGACTCACTAGGATGAGGATGTGAACATTGAATACTATTGAATCATAAGGCAGTTTCTTAAGTAATTTCTAATCTGCCATTCTAATATAACATTGAAGTACTGGAAGTGTTTTACTTTATATGTAATTTGATTTTACTGTGTGCCTTTTAGTTCTGGAGTTTATGTGGAAATGCTCTGACCCCAAAAAGAGGTGTGTTTGGTAAAACGGGTGACCTTCAGACAATATTGTGCCTAGCCTGTGCTCGGGATGAATTAACATATTCTGGTGCACTCAATGGGGATATATATGTGTGGAAAGGAATCAATCTTATACGAACAATACAAGGAGCCCATACTGTAAGTATAAATATTTTAAACACTTTGAGATGTTAACTACTTTATTGTTTTAAAACCACAGACTGCATAATGTAACACACTGTTTCTTATCAGTTTCTTGAAAATGCTATTTTAACTGAATTAATTTGCTCCCAAGATTTCAAGGAAGAAATATTATGCAGTTTGATTCATGGATATTTATTAAATTAGTATAATTAGTATCCTGTTCAAAGTTATTGCTTTACCAGTGTCTTTCTCAGAGTAGTGTTAAAGAAAAGCTTGTTGACTTTAACCTTAGGGTATTCTAGATTAACTATAAGCACTTATAGTAAAATAAGGCCAGTGCTCTTAAAGATAACTTACCAGGAGCAGTACAGGTGTAGAAAAAAAATAACATTGAGGCCTGGGGTTGTGACTCAGAGGTAGAACGCTCTCGCCAAGCATCCGTGAGGCACTGGGTTCGATCCTCAGCACCACATAAAAATAAAAAATAAAGTTATTGTGTCCACCTATAACTAAAAAATAAATATTTAAAAAATAATGTTGATTCTTTAAATAAATGTCAAAGGGATTTCATTTTTGTAGCTCTTGAGCTTTTAATTTAAATAAAGTACCAAATAAGAAAAATCCATTGTTAAAACTGAGTGGTTTTTAAAAAAATGTTTTTAGTTGTTGATGGACTTTTATTCATTTATTGATATATGGTATTGAGAATAGAACCCAGTGCCTCATACATGCTATGCAAGCGCTCTACCTAAATATGAGCTACAACCCCAGCCCAAAACTGAGTGTTTTTTGATTTGAGCTTTTTAGCAGTTGGGTTTCTCCTCACAAAGTGAAGGGAGCTAGATAGCACAGAGCTGCCACATTGTTAGCAATCAGATCTTCAAATAGAAAAGCCCCAAATAAGCTGGATATGGTAGGACACACTACTCAGAAGAATATGGCAGGAGAACCATGGGTTCTAGTCCAGGCTGAGGTACTTAGTGAGACCCTGTCTCCAAATAAAATGTTAAGGCTGGAGATATAGCTGAGTGTGGGAGGCCCTAGGTTCAATCCTTAGTACTGAAAAATGAATAAATAAGCATCCTTGAATCAAATGTATGAAATATGATATGTCAAGAGCTTTGTAAGGTTTTGAACAACTAATAATAAAAAAAGAATCAAAAAATAAAAATAAATAAATAATAAATAAATAAGCATCCTAAATATAATAAAGGACTACTTGAAAAGATTTGTGTATTAGCCTGTTTCTGTGATAAAATACCTTAGAAATTCAACTTAAAGAAGAAAAGGTTTATTTTGGAACATGGTTTCAGAGGTTTCTATCCATGATCACTTGGCTCCATTGATTATGGACCTATGGGGAAGTAGAACACCATGATGTGGAGCACATGGTAGAAAAAAGCTGCTCACCTCATGGAGACTAGGAAAGAGAGAGAGAGACACACATACACATACACACCGTTTGGTGACCTATTTTCTCCAACTACACTCCACCTTTTACTATTTCCTCTACCTCCCGCAGCACCATCAGCTGAGAACCAAGCCTTTAGCACATGGCCTTTGGGGGAACATTTAAGTTAGGTCCAAAGCATGATAATTTGCTCTAAGTAAAATGCTCAAAACTCAAAAATAGTAGTCTTTTTTTCACAAAAGGCATGGCAACTCACATTCTTACCATCTTACTATCAAATACTAGTTTCCTTCTTGTATTCAATGGCACAGAATGTGACTAGTATTGTAAAATATTATTTATTTTCTAGGTAAAAAAATGGTAGATTCTTGTTTGAATTTTGTTGCTGTTTCTGAAATTTCAAATATTTACTGACCACTTTTTTTCCTTTTTTGTTAATTGACTTTTCTCTCTTCATTGTTTGGTTGGTTGTATTTTTGAATTGCTTTTCATTCCTTTATTCATCTGTACATTAGGATTATTTACCTTTTCAGTCAAACACGTTGCAAATATTTTCTTAATCTATCTTTATGATATCTTTCTTCATATGAAAAATTTAAGTTTTTTAAAAGAAATGCTTTTTAAAATATTTTTCAGTTGTTGATAGACTTTATTTTATTTATTTATATGTGGTGCTCAGAATCGAACCCAGTGCCTCACACATGCCAGGCAAGTGCACTACCGCTGAGCCATAGCCCCAGCCCCCCCAAATTTAAATTTTTTTCTTAAAGGCTTGTGAGTGAACTGCCATGCCTAAAAATTATAAATAAAAATGTCTCATAACCCAAAATCATACAAGTGTTGTTGTGACTGTGTGTGTGTGTGTGTGTGTGTGTGTGTGTGTGCGCGCACATACTGGGAATTGAACCCAGGAACACTTAAACACTGAGCCATATCCCAGTTCTTTTTTATTTTTATTTTGAGATAGGGCCTTGCTAAGTTGCTTACAGCATCAGTAAGTCGCTAACGCTGGTTTTAAACTTGAGATCCTCCTGCCTTAGCTTACCAAGTTGCTGAGATTACAGGCGCGTGCAGTGCGCCTGCTATTCTAACTTTTTCTAAACGTATTTTTTACATTTAGAATTTTCTCCTCTATAATTCATTATAAATACAGTATGAGGTTTAACTAATTTTTTCATTATGTTTGCAAATACCATCTTAATTATATATTCAGTTTCTAAGGATATATTTCTAGACTTTCTTTTCTATTTTCTGATATTGTTTATTCCTCTATGATACTAAAATATTGCTAGATGGGTTTCTATCTTTATATGATAGATTTTCTTAGGAAGCTTAAATTGTTAAATTATTTTTTCTTCCAGGCAGGAATTTTTAGCATGAATGCTTGTGAAGAAGGGTTTGCTACTGGTGGAAGAGATGGCTGTATTCGTCTTTGGGATTTAACTTTTAAACCAATTACTGTGATTGATCTCAGGGAAACAGACCAGGGATACAAAGGTAATAAAACAAATAAATGTCTCATGATTAGACAAATTTTAAATGTGCCAAAGATTGTCTCTTTTTTTCAATTATCATAAATGTATGTTTTGTAAAAATGAATAAGACTTTCATTTCCTCTTCACAGTGTATACAATTAATTGAAATCCATTGAGGAGAACTTTTGGATTCAATGTTACAACAAAGATTCTTTTGTATATCTCGTACCTATTTTAATAGAACCTGTTAGCACAAAAAGACTGGGACTAACATATACACTTTACAAGTCAGCTCAGTGCTTTATTCAGGAATGAAGTTTCACACAGGAGCAGGGGATGCAGGGACCCACTTTTCTGGTGGATGAGCCCCCGAAAAAAGAAAGGGCCTGGGCTTCTATAGGTTATTCTGAGAGGGTCTATTGAGCCTATCAATTTTCTTTGGGCACCCAGGAATTTGGAGTTTGTTCAGTCAGTCAGTGAAGGGGTCAATTTTAGTGCTTAGGAATTTGGGGTCTGTTTTATGAGGCAAATGGGAGGAAGTCTAGGGTCAGTGGTCAGTTTCTGGGATTTATTGTATTGGACCTGATGGAGGGACTGGGATCAGTGGTTGGTATCTGGAAAGGATTTGTTTACAGAAGGATTAATGCTTTGGCCTCTTCCAAGAGACTGCCTTTCCAGGTATGATGGACACCTCTTCCTCAGGGTTTGTTTTATCACCAGGAAAGATATTGGGAAAGGATCAATGTTCTCAATGTATGGCTTTCCTTCTCACTCCCCTTTTCCCGGGTCTCCCTACTTTGGGGGTTTGTCATTTTCTATATATAATAAAACCTACAGAGAGATGTGATAGTCATTTACTTTGATAACATTGGATTTTGAAAATATTTATTATTAAAATGCTATAATAACTATTTATCAAATAAACTATTATAAATAAAGTATATTGGGGATTAGGGGAACTTTTATTAAGGATGATTTAAATGTACATAGATGTGTTTTTTCTTTATCCAGATTTACTTGTCAGCAACTGGGAAACTTTTTTTCTTGCAGGACTTTAAAAAGTTGATGTAATAAGATAGGATTTTTCATTATAAAATTTAACATATTATTTGCCAATGTGGCATTCTACTATAAGACTAAGATTGGAAGTTACACTGATTGGTGTTTAAAAAATACTCCAGTCACTTGGGAGATATGTAACCCTGGGCTAATTATTTAGCATTATCTGTAAATTGATGATAATAAGAATAGCTATCTCATAGTATAAATGAGTTAATATATGAAAATGAGGAATATCTGGTACATGGTAAACGTGTGAATGTTGACTATTACTCTATTTTCATTAGTTTTACTGAACATTATTGTATTTTGAAGCTTAAAAAGATTTGATGCTTTTAAAAATTCTATTCTCGAGTATTATTAAGTACAGAGTGTCTTTATGATGGCCATATTAAACAGATGAGAAAACTAAGAAAAACTGTTTTCCTAGGGTTAAAAAAGGAATTGTGGAAGATGCAAAAAAAAAAAAAAAGCAAAGGTAAAATTCTATCTTCTTAATGAATCCGTTTCTGAGCAGATTGAAGAAATGCAATATAAACAAGAAGTGCTAGATTATTTTTTTTGAAATGCAATACAATTCTATTAAAATAGTTCCTGAGTAATTACTTATCGAATGGTAAAGATTGTTAGTGCTATAAAACTTTGGCTGAGGAAATAGACTACCTGGAATTGTCTGACAAGGAAAAAGGAAGCCAAGTGTGTGTCTTATAGGTTGGGTGGAAATTAGGTATATAAAAAAGAGAAACATCATTCTATATAGAAAACAATATGGACAATTGAAGAAAGTAAGAGTGTGGATCAAGGGACTCCCATATTTATTTTATCCTGCATCCACGGCATAACAGGTACAAAAATTAATTTTCAATTAGGAATACTGGCATTATATTGTTATAGCATTGGTATAACATACAATATTGATATTAAATATACGTTTCATTAGGTTTGTCTGTGAGGAGTGTTTGTTGGCGAGGTGACCACATTTTAGTTGGAACACAAGACAGTGAAATTTTTGAAATTGTGGTGCATGAAAGAAACAAACCTTTCCTAATTATGCAAGGGCATTGTGAAGGTGAACTTTGGGCACTCGCTGTTCACCCTACTAAACCTTTGGCCGTGACTGGAAGTGATGATCGTTCAGTCAGGTAAGCAAATTATAAAGTAATTGTATAGACTGGAATCTGTCCTTAAATAAACTTAAAAAAACACTCAAAGCTTAGAATTAAATTTTATGGCTTACAGTACATCAAATGAACATAATTAATAAGTATTTCAAATTATAGAATTTATAACCATTAGAAAGATTTTGATTTTTTTCTCTTGAAAATATCTAGCATTTGCAGCTGGAGGTATGGCTCAGTGATAGAGAACTTGTCTAGCATATGTGAGGCACTTGGTTCAATTTTCAGCACCACATATAAATAAAAATAATGGTCCATTGGCAACTAAAAAAATATATATCTAGCATTTGTTCCATATTAGGATATATAGAGCTACATATATCATTTTAACAGCCACATGATATTCTACTGTATGAATATACTGTAATTTATTCAACAAATCCATTATTGTTAGCAGTTTACTTTCTTCTAGTTTTGTGTACTTAATAAATGCAGTGTTTGCAATAAATATCATATATTTGTCATTTTGTACATATATAAATGTCTCTATGATAAATTTTTAGTGTTCAAAGGATATGTGCAATATAAATTTGATAAATGCCTTACATAGAGGCAGCAAAAATTTACACATTTACCAATATAAAACAGTGCCTGTTTTCCCACACCCTTGTCAGCACTAATTATTTCTGAAAAGGTGGAAAAATAGATTTGAAAATACATATTTCCTTCATATTGAGAAATGTTGAGTATGTTTATGTTTAAAGGCCATTTGTATTCCCTTTTCTGTGACTTGTTTAAGCTCTTTGCCTATTTTAATTAGTTCACTAGTTTTTTTCTCTAATTGACTTAAGATAGAATCTAATAATTTCTGTCTATATATTGTAGAAATAGCCCTTTGTCTATGACAGTAGTTTTCAAAGTATGATTTTAAAAAAAAAATTTTAGTTGTCAATGGACCTTTATTTATTTATATGTGGTGCTGAGAATTGAACTGAGTGCCTCACACATGCTAGGCAAGCACTCTACCACTGAATCCTGACCCCAGTCAAAAAGTATGATTCTTATACTAGCAGCATCAGCATTATCTAGGAACTTGTAAGAAATGCAAATTCTCAGGCCTTTTCCAAGACCTGATATCAGAAATTCAGCAGTTTAGTAAGCCTTTTGTTTTAGTCAGTTTTTTTGTTGCTACAACCAAAAGGCCTGACAAAACAATTAGAGGAAGAAAAAAGTATATTTTGGAGATCATGGTTTCAGAAGTCTCAGTCCATAGATGGCCAACTCCATTCCTTGGGGGCTCAGGTAAGACAGAACATCATAGCAGGAGTGTGGCAGGGGAAAGCATCTGGGAGCATGGCTACAGGAAGCAGAGAGAGAGAGACTAAGCTCTCGGCTCACAAAATATAAACATCAAAAGCACGGCTTCCTATGCTTCCTACACCACCTCCTACAGCATACCCTTCCTGCCTTTAGTTACCATTCTGTTAATCCCTGTCAGGATTAATTCACTGATTGGGTTAACCCAATCATTTCACTTCTAAATCTTTTTGCTTTGTTTCACACATGAGCTTTGGAGGATATCTTACATCTAAACCATAACACTTTCCAAAATGTAAACAAAAAGGAAAGACTTTACTGCTCATAAAATTTCACTGAAACTTGGGAAATGGACTGGCAAGGGAAAATAGGTTTTATTCAAAGCTGGCTTTTCTTTCTCAGATTTCCATCTCCTGAGACTTGGGCACAGAAAGCTTTTATAAGAGGAAAGAGGGTACAATAGGACAAAAGGGAGGAAATACATGTGTGGTTTAGCTAGGTATATTGATCAGAAGCAGTCACAATCTTGGATTCTCAAGAGCCCAGTTAGGCCACAAGACTGCATTCCCAGGATGAAGAAGTTCTGAAATTAAAACAATTTAGAGCTTTTAATTTAAAAGGGGGTCTTTTTCAAAATGACTACATTGTACACTAATGTTTGAGAACTAGGTCATTGGTATAAGTTGAGATATCTTTTCTCATTTGTCATTTATCTTTCTTCCCCCCATTTAATCTGTAAATATTTCAATTTGTATCTTAAGAACATAACTCTAGGGGCTGGGGCTGGGGCTCAGCGATAGAGCACTTGCCTGGCATGTGTGAGGCACTGGGTTTGATTCTCAGCACCAGTGAGAATCAAAGGTCTATCAACAACTAAAAAAAAAGAACATAACTCTAAACGTCATTATAATTTTTTCACACAGCATTCCTTTAACATAATAAAATATTTAATGTAGGAATTCTGATTGTCTCATGTAAATTTTATTTTTTCTTAGAATTAGAATCCAAATAAAGTCTATATCTTGCAATTATTGATATGTCTGTTAAGTCTCTTATTCAATAGCTTTTTTTCCTTTCATTTACCCCCTTTCTTACAGTTCATTTGTTGAGGAAAGACTTTACTCTGTAGAGTTTTCCATGTTCTAGGTTTGGCTAATTGCAGACCCAGAGAATACTTTAAGACATTCTCTGTTCCCTATGTCCTATAAACTGATAGGTAGATCTAGAGGTCTGATGAAATGCAGTTATGAATTTTTACTAAGAATATTTCCTAGGTAGCGAAAACTAACTCACCTCTGATGGTATGTAATATATAGTCTTTTTTTCTTTTTCTCCTCCCCCTCCTTCTCTTCTTCTTCCTCATCCTCCTCCATTTCTGGTATTAGCAAGGATTGATGGGCATTGTTGAGATCAATGTTGCTCAACCTTTTTTTCACTGTTACTTTCCCAGTGAAACTTAGACTTTTTAAAAAAAAAAATTTCAACCTTTCTCTGTGAAATTTCAATACCAAAACTAACTACATATCTATTTTTATATTGTGGCCATTTATAGGAGTATAAAACATTGTAATTAGATTTTTCACACCTAATAACTCATTTTTACTTTTTGGAGGTAATAGTTCCTCTATTGAGAATTTTTGGAATATTTGCATATACATAATGAGATACCTTGAAAATGGAACCCATGTCTAAATATTACCAAAAGCTTCATCCTTATCCCTGATGCTAATACAAATAACAAGGACAAGGTTTTGAAAAAAAGGAGAGTTTTATTAATTTGCTTGAAAATAAGGAGAGTTGCAACCTAAAAAGCTACTGCCCCCCTTGTAAAAGGGAACAAAGAGCTTTTTAAGTGGAAATTCTGGATGTACCTATAAAAGGGTACACACAATTCATTTTTACATGGTAGCCTGGAGCTAGCCATTGCTCAGACCTACTGGCACCAGTTTCCAGGTCTGCAAATCTTCATTCATTCTTGTGTTCAGTAAGCTGGAGGACACTGTAACAGCCTAAGATGGGAAGAATATTCATCTTGCTTCTTTGTGTTTAGGGCAGGTGAGAAGGAGAAGAGGAAGAAAAAGAAGTGGGAAAACAACAAAAACACAGTTTTAAAATAAGTCTCCAATGAAGGAGCAGCAAGGTTCACACACAAAGTGTAAAGTAGACCCTGTTACATCAAAATTAATTGTTTTGTGTACACCTATACATATAGCCTGATGGTAATTTTTTTTTTTTGGGTGGTGCTGGGGCTTGAACCCAGGGCCTTGTGCATGTGAGGCAAGCACTCTACCAGCTGAGCTGTATCCCCAGCTCCTGATGGTAATTTTTTTAAAAAAAAATATTTTTAGTTGTAGATGGACACATTATTTTTATTTTTATGTAGTGCTAAGGATCAAACACAGTGCCTCACATGTGTGAGGCAAGCACTCTACCACTGAGCTACAACCCCAGCCCTAGTAATTTTATATAGTATTTTTATTACACTTGCATTGTGAGCATCACTTGAGGTCATATATGGAAGTTTTCAGTGTTATTTCAGATTTTGGAATTGTGGATTAGGGTTGTTCATCCTATGTATTCTTCCTGCACATTAGTGGTGTTTTTGTTGTTGTTTCTTTGTTTTTTGAGATGAGATCTTGCTGTATTACTCAGGTTGGTCTCAAACTCCTGAGCTTAAGTGATCCTCTAGCCTCAGCTTCTGGAGTAGCTGGGGCTACAGGCATGTGCTACCACATCTGGTTTACATTAATGCCTTTGTTTTTTAGATCTAACCATTCATGTGTGTAAAGTTTTCTTTCGTTTAAATGGTGGAGTGGGCATCCAGACTAATTATTGGTAACTACTATTGTGTCTTTACAATATACTACTCAGCCATGCCATTTACTCTCATTATGCTAGTCTATTTTATGGGGATGGAAGGTGCCATAGCTCTGTTGAAACTTGCTATATGGGCTGCCCTTTATCCGTGTGCTTTGCTAGGAACTATTTCTTTTTAAATATTTATTTTTTAATTATAGTTGAACACAATACCTTTATTTCACTTATTTATTTTTATGTGGTACTGAGGATTGAACCCAGGGTCTTGCACGTTTGAGGTGAGCCCTCTACCGCTGAGCCACAATCCCAGTCCCCAGGAACTGTTTTAATAGTTTCTTTCCTTATGGAACTGCTATTACCAACTGCTGTATAGTTGCTGAAAAAAGGGCAATTGGTCCTTTAGAAAGTAATTGTTCATATTTCTGTTTCTATTATTGGTGACAATTTGTTTGGAAAGGATTCTTCTAATGAAAACCACCAGAGATGCTCATTAAAGTGTAAATTGCCTTGGAAGGCTTTAAAAAACTGGCAAGATAGTAAGGAACTGTTCAAACATTTTATAAAACAAAATGAAAATTTAGGAGCATCAAAGAGCCAAAGTCACTTTTGCCCTGAGGGCATTTTTTCACTTGCATAAACTTGAACTTTGTTTATGGCTTTCTCTTGTAGTACTTTCTCTTGAGATCTTGAGTACAGTAAAATTTTATTGTAATTTTTTTTTCTTTTTACCTAGGGACCTCAGCCAGAGGCTTGACTCTGGGAGTCCCAACAGACCGGTTTCAGCCACTGGCCACATCTAATTAACAAAGAGAAAAATGATGATGAAACAAGAAATGAAATGTATATAAGAGGGTAGTCTTATATGCATTGCCAGAACTATAGATTAAGCATATTTAATCTATCTGTCTGTCTGTCTGTCTGTTTATAGCAGATACAGATTTGTGTGGGAATGGAGATCTCACTTCTTGTTTTAACTTTTGATGCTAATTATTATTTACATAGCATTATTTGTTATCCAAATTACTTTAGCACAGAAGTTTCACATGTAAGTACTGCTCTTGTGTTATAATTGTGTTGAATTTATTAAAAAACAATATCAAGTCTGCATCAAAAGCTAATTTTTAAAGCTGTTCAGTGTTTTATAATTGTGCTTGAGAACAATTTTTTTTTTATTGGTTGTTCAAAACATTACAAAGCTCTTGACATATCATGTTTCATACATTAGATTCAAGTTGAATATAGGAAAGGTAGCAGAATACAACAATTACTAATAGGGCATTATGTAAAAATGTGGATGTGTAACAGATGTGATTCTGCAATCTGTATTTGGGGTAAAAATGGGAGTTCATAACCAACTTGAGAACAATTCTTTTGAGAGCAGTTCTTTGGTTTAGAAAAATTTTAGTTTTGGGTCTGAGACGTAACAGTAAAATTTTATTGTAATTTTTTTTTTTTAACCCAGGGACTCCAGCCAGAGGCTTGACTCTGGAAGTCCCAACAGACCAGTTTCAGCCACTGGCCACATATAATTAGCATACAGAAAAATGACGATGAAACAAGAAATGAATTTATTTTTGGTTTGTCTAAAAACCAGCAAAACAACTGCTCTAGAAATTTGTATTCCCTGTACTGACAACAGTTTTAGGATAATATAGGGAGAGAATGAAAAGGGAGAGGCAAAAGGTATGCATATGCATAGGAAGTCTGGTTCTGCCCATCCCTTAGCTCTGGATTTTGGGGGCTTGATATGAACTGGGAAGGAAAAAACAACATATTAGGACAAAATGTCAAGTCAGTGTCTGGGTACTTCAGATTCCCAATTTTAAAGGTGCCCATTACAGATGTCACAAGAAGGCAGCCAGGTTGTAGGCCCTCACCTGACAATGAACCTGCTAGCACCTTGACTGTGGACTTCCCAGGCCATAGAACTTCTGGGTGATTGTTTAAGCCACCCAGACTATAGTAGTCTTGTTACTGAGGCCCAAACTAAGACACAAGTAAAGGAGGAAAAACACTCCTCTTGTTCTTGATACAGAACATTATCAAAGTTTACAATTAAATCCCTGGTTCTCTACACAGATGTTATTGATTTTGTTTTACTGGTGTGTTACTTAAGCTATCAAAAAAGTAAAAAGAATAAATAAAAATAAAGAGAATCACCTGTGGAGCTGAAGTAGCCATGGGGGTTCATGTCACCAGTTCTTGGGATCCTCAGAAATAATCTCATGAGAATCACACAGGAACAAGCAGGAGTTTATTAGAGAGGGTGAGAGTACAGATGTTCACAGGCACTAAAGGGACCACTTCCAGGGAGGACAAGAATTGAGATTTTTAAGTACTTTGTGTCCCTTTGTTCTGATTTTATTCTCTTATACCCTCTTAAGTGTTATATTACCCCTTTGTTTAGCCCTCAGAAAGTTTATTTTGTGAGGGTTGTGATGACCTAGTCACAGGGGTGGGTGTGACATGATTTTAGTGATAACCTTTGACAAGGAGTGGGGGGGTCATGAAGATCTGGTCATGATGAATAGGTATGATATATCTTGAAACATAGTTTGCTTAACAGTTATAATAAACTATGGCTGGAGGAGGTTTGGCATACCACTTCCCATTTTCTAGATGCTTGTCTGCTTTGAGAAGGTTCCCTGTAATACCCAGTCCTATAATTCATGGACCTTCTGCTGCACCTGTCTGATTTCCTCCCTCTAAGTTACAACCCTTCATTGTCCTTCTTCCTATTACCTGCTCATGGCTAAACTATCTATCTAACATTATCACTGCTAAGCCATCAAACAGCTATGTGGTAGTGTAAGTGAGGATTTTTCAGCTTCTATTTTTGAGGAAAATTCATAGCACTAAAAACATATCTACAAGAGCAAGTGAAGTTTACCATTAACACTTTTGGTACAAAAACACATGGAAGAGTTTTTTAAAAGTTTTTTTTTCTTGCAATGTATCTGCTGAAGAATAATATAGTATATAACCACAAACTTTAAATACTTTATATTTTCAGAATCTTCATGAATTTATTTAAGCCATTTTTTTCCATATTTTTACCACCATCAACTACAATTCCTTTTAGTAGATTCCAGTTTAGGTTGTATTGAATTAATGTTTTCTCAGTGTTTTTGAAAATATTCTTGCCCATAGTTCTATGCAGACTATTCATAGTAGCTAATAATTCTTTAGTCATATTAAGCTTGGCATTGACTTCTCAAATAAACAAGTGGGAAAAATTGGTAACATCTGTTAACTTATCCAGATTCAAGGAAAAACTATTCAGTTTTTAAATTAATTATTGACACATTCCCTGTATTCTTAACCCTTTGAGCTACTGTTCTTGTGAAAAAAAAAGGCTAAATTTTCACTTACTGTATTTTCTCTGGACACAATTCTTCTTCTGCTGCTGCATCCCACAATTATTTACTTCACTCATCACTAATGAACAGCTTTCCTTTCTTGACTAACAAATAAGCCATTATTTGAAACTTAACTTTTGTGGGGACCTCATTTCAAATTTTAGATTTGCAAAGAAATTCTTTCTGATGAGAGATTTTATTCTAAATTTTATACTATTTTGACTATTGTTTTCCCATTAGTTGAAAGTATTATGATGAGTGTTCAATGTGGTAATATTAATTTGTTTGCTTCTAACAGCTATAGTGTAACATAATAAACACTATTACTTATAAAATTACATAATAAACACAGTGCTTTGCTATCTAATCAACATTATCATTTGTAATCCATTGTTCCTTAAAAATGCAACATTCAGGGGCTGGAGATGTAGCTCAGTGGTGGGGTACTTGCCTGGCACGTGTGGGGGACTGGGTTCCAGTCTCAGCACCACATAAAAATCAACTATTGTCAACCAGTCAAATAAAGGTGTCCATCTACAACTAAACTTTTTTTAAAGAAATGCAACATTCAAAATTACATTCTTTCCACTTGTCTCAACATGATAGATGTGCACTATGGTAATAAAAATAATAAAATGTTGCCATGTAGTAGACATTGCACTTGAAATTCTTTTAAGTTATGATTGTACCTGCAATTTGTAGTGCACCAAGTAGTACAAAGTGATGTGTCTTTCTTTTTTTGCAACATCTACAATCTGCCTCTGTAGTGATAGACAATATGTAAATAACTGATATAGTCATAGACAATATATAAATAACTGATCATGACTGTTTCTATAAGACTGTTTCTATAAGATAGACAATATGTAAATAACTGATATAGTCATAGACAATATGTAAATAACTGATCATGACTGTTTCTATAAGACTTTATTTATAGGCACTGTAAATGTAAGTTTTATATATTTTCTTATGTTTCAGAATTTTATCTTTTAAAATTTTTTTTAATCATTAAAAATGTAAAATCCATTCTTAGATCTCAGACTATGCAAAAATAGGTAAAGGCAGCCTGGTTTGTTCCACAGGCTGTGGTTTGCTGACATCTGTGGTAAGAGAGTAGGAATTCTGCAGCAAATACAGTACTTAATGATAAAACATTGAAACTTTAACTTTGAAGTCAGAAAAAAGACAATGGTGCCCACTTTCACTATTCCATTCAGCTATGGACTAGATGTCTGCATCAGCACAGTAAGTTCAAATAGAGAAGGAAGATGACAGGTTGAGGGAAATGGAGAGATAGGAAGGAGGAAGGCAGAGGAATTAGAAAGGAAGAAACAAATGTCATTATGAGCAATATGATTATATATGTAGAGAAATTCAGAGGAAAATGCAGACCAATTATTGGAATTGGTTATTAAAATAATGTAGAAAAATAATTTTTTATTTAAACAACACATTTTTAAAAAGAATACTGCTATAAAAACTTTTTAAAAACTATTTAGTTTTAGTGATATTTTTCAGACCTTTTGGGGTAGATGCCTATTCGTTAAGTTGTAGCCTTTGTTTCATAATATATGCAGTTAAAACTCCTAAACATTCTCCTCATTACTATTCTAGCTGTATTCCACAAATTTTGATGTGAAAAATTTTATTATGACTTATTTAAAAAATTAACTAATTTTCATTAGTATTTTGGATTAGTATTTTGTCTTTTGAAAGTATAGTCCTCATTTTTCAAACAATACCTTTTTCTTTGTTGATTTCTACCATGTAGTCTGAAACAGATTTTGAATTGAATATTTTTAAGTGTTGCACTTAAATTTAAAAGGCTATATATGCAATTTAAGGTTATGTATAGACATCTTTATATACAGAGAGAGTGAGTTGGTTATTTTTGGTCATTTACAATTCATCTACCTAAAATGAATGATTAGGACAAATTAATATCATTTTTTAAGAACAAAAAATTCTATCAACCTCTGTCATTTTAAGCATGAACAATATTCCTGTTTTCAGAGTAAGAATTCCTTGCACAAAGCAAAGACAATTGAAATATCTAGAGAGCTGGTGGATGTGACTCAATGGTTGAGTGCTTGCTTAGCATGCACAAGGCTTGGGTTAGCCATCACCAGCTCCCCCACACACACACAAAGAAAAATCTAGATTCATATTACTTAAAGTGAGATGATTATTTTAACCAAATTTTTTCATAGTCTATCATTATTTTAAAGTACACATTAATTAACTACTATTTTAAATTTTAAATCAAATGTTACAGGATTTGGAGCCTAGTAGATCATGCATTAATAGCAAGATGTAATATGGAGGAACCAATTCGTTGTGCAGCTGTAAACGTAGATGGAATCCATCTTGCCCTTGGAATGAAGGATGGCTCATTTACTGTTCTTAGAGTAAGGTATGGTATTAGAGCAGAAATGGAAACAGTAATTTTGTGTTCGTTGAGAGAGAATATTTTACATTGATTTTATTTATCCTTTCTTTCATACTTCTTGTTAACATATGTTTCAGATATTAGTTTTATTAAATATAAAATATATTTATAAAAAAAATTTGTCAGAAAACTAAATAAATTGAAAATCTTTGGGAGGTTAAGAATGCTTAACAGATTTTTGGCTGAAATTTTGAGCTATAAAGTTTGGGTCTTGACTTCTTTCTTTCTTTGGTAGTATTGATTTTCAATAATGATTCCCTACCATTGAACAACCCGGAGGCTCTGAGAATGGGTGAATGGTTTTTGTTGTTGTTGTTACTTACAGCTTTATGGTCCAGAAAAAAAAAATGCTCTTCGTTGGATAATTAGAAATTTTAAATAATTTGTTAAAGCATTTTACATGTTGTATTGAATTATAGGCAGATACATTTAATTTGAATTTTATGTAGACATAAGAAAAATTCCCCTAGATACACATATGTTGGCAAGGATAAGTCTTTATGAAATCTTTCTGTGCTAGTTCAATGATCTTCTACCCAGCTATACAATTCAGAAACCATTAGTTCACTTTTCTTTGCCTTTCTTATTCTAGAGAATCTGTTTCTGAATAGTCTTCATATTAATCTTCTTTCCATTCTCACCATTGTGCCCTTATGTCATCTCTGAACAGAGTTGGTGGAATAGCCTCTTGGCTGGTCTCTTCACCTCTTGTTTTTCTTCCCTCTAGACCTTTATTCCCTCTACAGTGATAGGATTCCTTTTAAAACACATTTGTTTACATTCTTCGTCTCTCCAAAGTATGTGAAAGACTTTGTGCTGTCCTTAGAATGAAGTTTCTAGTCCTTAACATGATTTTGCCTCTGTCTTCAGCCTTTTTCTCTACATCTCGGACTCTTTCCTTCATCTGTACAAAACTTCTTTCATTTCTTCAGATATATCGTGTTCTTTTATACATCTGAGCTTCTATGTATGCTGATTCCTCTTTCTGCAATAGATTTTACAATGAGACATGCTACAATTTTTCTTTCAAATTATTTTTATTGTGGTAAAATATACATAATTTAAATTTAACTTTCAGACATTTTTAAAATGTGTGATTCAGTGGCATTAAGAACATCACATTATGCTACTATTGCCATCATCCATCTCTAAAATGTTTCTTCTTTCTGTCGGATTCATCGTGACATAACTTCAGTCACCCCCAATTATAATTGTCATGATTGCCTCCAGGGTAATCTGAGCTGATGTTTCCTGCATAATTTATCAGCATACTATAAATAGACAAAAACCTATAGAATGTTATGTGTGGAGCTTGAAAATCAAACCCTGGCACCAGAAGTGTGCCTTGCTCTTTGGTATTAGCTAAGGATAAACAGGTACATTCTGTCTTGGATGAAGTAATTTTTGTTCTAAACAATGTATGTGCCTCTCTTTCTGGCCCAAATTGCAGGATCTATTTTGTTTTGCTGCTGCCTAGGACCATGTTTCTGTGACTAAGTCCCCCAATAAATCACACTCTGTGCAATCCTAGATCTGTCTGCCTCTCTTTCTTCAGCTTCACTGCACCTTGGTGCCTGTTCTCATACACATACTGGGTTGTCCTGGAACATTTCCAGACAGAAACTCATAAACAACAACACTTCATCTTCTCCTCCTCCTCCGAGTCTCTTAACAACCACCACTCAGTTTTATGTCTCTAAGAAAGATAGAACATGACTATTCTAGGTACCTTTGATAAGTGGAATTTTTAAACTAGGTTTTTAAACTGCAATTTAAGTATATAAAATTTAAATGTTAATTAGTACTTTTCCCCATATCCCTATAAATATCTCATGTTGCCTTTTTTTTTTTTTTTGGTACCAGGGATTGAACCCAGGGGCTCTTAATCACCGAGCCAGACCCCCAGATCTTTTTTATGTTTTATTAGAGACAGAGTCTCACTGAGTTGCTTAAGGCCTTGCTAAGTTGCCAACACTGTCTTTGAACTCATAGTCCTCCTGCCTCAGCCTCCTGAGTCACTGGGATTACAGGAATGCACAACTGCAACTGGTGTGTTGCCTTATTTTATCATATCAAAATAGCTTCTTAAACTGAGATAAAAGACTATGAGGCCAGGCACGGTGGCACAGGCCTGTAATCCAGGCAGCCTAGGAGACTAAGGCAGGAAGATCTCAAGTTCAGAGCCAGTCTCAGCAAAAGTGAAGCTCTAAGCAACTCATTGAGACCTTGTCTCTAAATAAAATACAAAATAGGGTTGGGAATGTGGCTCAGTGGTTGAGTGCCCCTGAGTTTAATCTCCTGTACTTCTCTCCCCCCCAAAAAAGACTATGAAACTTTCCTGTTAGGTTCTCAGTTCTAAGTTTGAAATTGATTTGATCATTAATTCTAGAATCTTTCTGACTATAATCATCTAAGACATTTATTCTTCTTCTCATTGGTTAATTTATTTGGAGGCTTGTATTTAGTCTTTCAAGTTAGAAATCATAAATAGAAATACTGGACACTATGAGTAATATCTGTGATCAACTTTATTTTTCCTTATTTTGAAATAACTTAAAAGTATTAGAAGTATTGGAATTGGAGTGGAATGCTAAATTATAGAAGCTTTACAAGAATTTAAAATGTATATAAAAATTAGAATTCCTATAATATAGCTGATAAGCTATGGTATGCTTAAAAAGTAGTGATTTTTAATAATTTATACATTAATTGCCCTTTCAGTTACACATTTTCTTGTCCTTTCAGTTATTGTATGCAGCAAACTGGGTGAATACGTTCTTATCTCTAATTAAGGTTGTAGTTTCACAACTGAATCCAATATTGCTATCACGATCCTTGGGATGCTTATTTTAACTGTTAAATGCCTTAACCACAGAATAGTAACTCACAAAATCCTAAATTTACCAAGTCATTATGCTTGGTTTGCTTTTTATTCTCCATTTGATAAAGCAGGATTCATGAATACAGCTGTACTCACAGGAATATTTATGTTATGATTGGAGAAATATAGAATAGATTAGAATCTGACATACTGATTTTCTTCCTTTGTAATGCTAGAAAGGGAATGCATGCTAGTTAAGAGCTCTATCGGGGCTGTGGTTGTGGCTCAGTGGTAGAGCGCTTACCTAGAATGTGTGAGGCACTGGGTTCAATCGCT